TTACAGCAGCGTAAACACACCTACTTTGATGAAGTCTTAAGGGACGAAACGCGTAACACGAAAAACTTAGTCATACATATTTCCTCTAAAACTGTTCTTGATATATCAAAATTTATATAACTTTATCCCATATATATATATATATATATATATATATATATATATATATATATATATATATATATATATATTATGCAATGTTACATTAGACCATGCACATATCTACTACAAAATTGTATATTTTTGTTTCAACGTCAAAAAGGAAAAACTTTTTTAAACATCTCATCAGGTGGGGAATCAGGATATTACTAAAACTTTTTTTCAGAAATACAGTTACCGAAGCAAATATCAAATGTTTTGAACACTGTAATCTTACTGTTCGTTCTTCTACACTTTCATATATATATATATATATATATATATATATATATATATATATATATAGAGAGAGAGAGAGATAGAATGGAGATCAACGTGTTTTAGTGGACTCAGCAATTTTCAATCTGCTTGTCTGAATCATCTTCAAGAAGAGAGAGCACGATCTAAAAGGTCAACCAATCTAACAGTGATCTCATCTCACAATCCTCACACTTGCTCCATATGCGGCCTCCTTTGTAAATCACTAGCGGGTCTTAAATACCACTTAAGATTAGCGCATAAACTTTCATAACTGAATCAATAAGCTGGCAGATCCTCATATGTCGAAACCGACGGGAGAGTCCATTATTATATGTATATATATATATATATATATATATATATATATATATAGATAGATAGATAGATAGATATAGATATATAGATATAGATATAGATAGATAGACAGAGAGAGAGAAAGAGAGAGAGAAAGAGAGAGAGAAAGAGAGATAGATAGATAGATAAAGTATGAGTGCCTAAAAGTTCAGTTTTTGCACTGAAATGCTCGAGTTCATGTCGGAAATAGAAATTTAACTGTTACAGTTGTGGAAAAATTAATACAGAAATTATTCATTTCAATTTTTCAATCAAACAAAATGCCCGAGACAGTGGTCAGGAGATGATGGAAAAGGAAAGAAGTTTTATAAAATTAAATCCCGATATTAACCTTATGACATTAAATTGGGTGTTATATGAAAAATGGAGTGTTAAAACTAAGAGAGGAATGAAAAGTTTTTTTTTTATTATTTTTCCAAAGATAAATTATACCTAATAGTGAAATATATTTAAAATAAGTTATATATAGATAATTTATATTAAAATTAAGTGAGATTATAATTAAAAATTAATGAGATAATAATTAAAAAAATATAATTAATAAAAGATTGTTATATTAAAGGTATTGTTATATTAAAGGTAAAAATTATAAAATAATTTTAAAAACCTAAAAATACAAAGTTATATTTAAAAAAAAACCTTAAAATATTTAGATAAAAAGTGGAAGTAATAAAAGGAAAGAGGATTCATAAAACGGGCAATTATAAGATATAATTAATATGGTCTAAAAATATAGAAATGAGAATTAGTTATATATTTCACATTTGAAGAGTTAGAGAAATAGTAGCTAATAAAGGATGTTACTATATTATGGAAATCTGAATTTATTTTATGTTGACATTTTAATACTAATTTATTCCTTTGATTCAATAGTTTGCTTTGGTTATTGCATTTTATTATTCAAATTTTTCTTGTAAACACCTATCTCTAAGACTATTAGGAGTATATGCGGAACCTATAATCCTCTGTGTCTTTAGAGCTTTCTCCTTCAATTCCCAAAAGTATTTTGAAAGACCTGTCTGGTAGTTTAATTTAGGGTTAGTAAAATTAGTAAAATTAGTAAAATTAGTGCCTATGGGTAAAAAAATATCTGTTTCCATCCCCACGAGGAAATTCCAATGTAAACATTATAATTTTTCATATCTTTTGGTGGGGAAATAGTTGCTTGGTATATCACCCTAGTAGACTTGCATTTGGCCTCAACTGGACAATTTTCTTTATATCTAGAATTACAGGAGTGTTCAATAACAGGTTTGTTGTTTATCCCATAGAAATTACTATATATATAGTTACTATGAGAGTTGATAATATTGTACGTTATTGGAACAGGTGTAGCTAATTTTAATAGTTTTTCTGTTGAAGATCTTAAACAGAGGGTTGTTTTATGAAAATGTTTGTTTATTAACTTTACAAAATACTGACCGATATTAATATTTGACAATTTGCAGAAGGGGGAGGTTGCTGAACCATAAATTTTTTATTTTTCTATTTCTGTGTTTACATTTCACTTTAGATATTTCAGTGTTACTTTTTTACTTATATATATATATATATATATATATAAATTATCTTACTCCTCTTCTCTCTCTCGCTATGAGTAAATAGCAGGACTGACTGGGTTCTATAGCCTTGATTGATAACTCATCTAGTAGAAGGACAATTCTGAATTCAAAACCTGCAGGGGGTCGTTTGAAGATATTGTGTATAACAATAAGTAGACACAATATATCTATATTATTAAATCTACATACATTCGTACATTTATATTTATATTCATACATTTATATATATATATATATATATATATATATATATATATATATATATATATATTCATATATTTATATATATATATATATATATATATATATATATATATATATATATATATAAATGTATGAATATTAATCTTCTCCTTCAGCTATGGGTAAATGGGAGGGCAGACTGGGTTCTATAGCCTTGGATGGCAACTGATCTAGGGAACCTTGTGGCATGCAGTGCATCAGGTCTCTGTATTCGGCCCTTTAAAAAGTGTGGTTGGTTCCACACAAAGCCTTCACCACTATAATCAAATCATATCTGCTGGTGTCTGGTTTGTCGGTACCTAGGACCTGAACTGCTTGACCCTCATACGTCGAATACAACGGAGAGTCCACCATATATATATATATATATATATATATATATATATATATATATAAAATAGTATGACAAATTGGAAAAAAAATTTTTGTGATGCTTTTCATCCGTTACGAATTCATTGAATTGGGCTTTGTTGATGTTGTCACGTCTACACATGTACACGAAATGAGAGGTGCTGGTAGTTTTAACATTTTTGAAAGAATATATATACAGGGGAATGCAAAAGTAGGTATACAGTGAAAAAAAACGTGCACACAAAACTTATTGTATTGATTATGCAGACATCAATAATGGTATTACTTATTGTATACTTACCTGGCACAGGGATCCTTCCATGTGCTGGTGGTATCACGGCTACGACTAGCTTGGACCGGCTCTGGCCAGCTATGACAAGCCAAGATCAGCTATGACTAGCTTATACCAGCTTGGACAAGCTATGACCAGCTAAGACCAGCTAAGGCCAGCTTGGACTAGCGGCGTGAGTGAAAACACTCAGGTCCCCATGTTAATAACTGACCTTGTGTCACAACCTGACTCAGTGAGGGGTCAAGTAAATCTCTACTTATTGTATGCCTATTTTTGCAGCCCCTATAAATGTGTTTATATATATATATATATATATATATATATATATATATATATATATGTGTGTGTGTGTGTAAGTGTGTATGTGCGTTCCTGTTAGAACTGCAGTAGTCATTAACATATCGTTTTATTTCTATTTTTATTTCCAGTTGATTTAATAAAAATTGCTTACATTAATAAGTGTACAGAAAAGCTTAGGATAATCAAGATATATTAACATCATTACCAAATCCAAAAGAAACGTTTGAGCTTGACTAGAAGATAATTCCTGAGGCTTATCTATAACTATGTTTAATAGACTATGAAAAGGCTTACGACAAGAACCGTTGAAACTGCGAGGTATGCTTGAAATATTTAGGAAGGATATTAGAATAATCCAGATCTTATACTAGAAGCAAAACCGCCTTCGTGGGGATAGAAAATGAATTCAGTAAATAAACAAAAATAGAAAGGGGTGTAAGACAAGGATATGTCTTCTCATCAGGCTTATTCAACCATTACAGTGAGGTGTTTCTGAGAAAATTAGAATTCCTACCGGGATTATTTATTGGCTGCCAATATTGAAAGCATGGGGTACCTAATAATGTTTAAAGGGAAATGGGAACATATAAAACCTAGCAATGAAAATGTAACCCTTTCACTAAAAAAAAAAGGGGGAGAAAACATCAGAAAAAAATCTTGTTTTTTTTTTTTCAGAAATGTTATAGTTATAAAACATCACTGAGAAACTTGCTAAATGATTTCTGCAGGTTTGACTCCCTCCTGCCTACAGACAACGCACTACGGCGCGTTGTTCATCGATGGTGCAATCGCTGAGGGGAGCATCCATACGTCTGACCTCATTGCTTCCTGCCACTTGACTGAACGATAGAATGCTGCGCGCGGCTAGCTAAAACATCTCATACGCACGTGTGGTGTCGTGCGTCAGTGCTTACCTAATGTTTTTACCGTGTAATTTAAAAATTGCTGTTATTTTCTGATTTAGCGGATTTAAAATAATAATTAAATAGTAGAGTTACCTTTTCAATTCAGGGGTTGTTCCCCTTAATTCTAGACTATTCTGAGAAAGTTAGGATTTCTACCTAATTTTTTTTTTTAATGTGGCCACAATATTAACAATATTAGATACGACACAGTGTTGGTAGCAGACACAGAAAGCATTATACAGCAACTCCCACAGGAGGTAATTAAAAAAAAGCCAGAAGAAAGATCTAAGCATCATTTGTAAAAAGACACAATGTATGGTTGCCAGCTAACAGAAAAGACAAACATTCAAATTAGTGATGCGAAATTTAAGTAAATACAAAAATTTAATTATCTAGGAAGTATTTTAATAGAGGACAGAATTGTGTCACCGAAATCCGAAGGTGCATTGGGATGACGAAAGTTGACTTCCAGAAGCTAAGCACCGTATTAAGAAACAGGATAATTTCGTTAAAAACAAAGAAAAGAGTATTGAACTATTATGTAATATTAGTCCTCATATGTGACAGTGAATGCTGGACAGACTCCTCATAGAT